GCATGCCACGTGAATGTTCCGTACAGTGCAGTGACTGCAAAAACTGGGCGGCTTATGATAAATCCACTGATATTGGGAGCAAAACTGTGTTTACATCTGTCTATATCTCCGAGATGAGGTATTATGGTTGCTTACATTATTTAAATTATTCAGTACCCACGGAGGAGGCACTCGCGGTAGTCAGCGACAGACGGGCCTCGGACTCATCCCTGGGAGAACGGGCCAGTATAGCAATAGATAACCTGATGGAGATGCTGACTTTCTGTACGCAAACAACACACTTTTGAATGGGATCAAACATATATCGACAGAATGAGGGCTTGGCAATGGGCCCACCAATATCACCAGCAATGGCAACCCTTTATATAGAATACTTTGAGGAAATGGCATTAGAATCTACATCACTAAAGTCAACCCTATGCCTGATACCTAGATGACACCTTCATTCTCTGGCCACACCAGGAAGAAGTCCAGCTACAACTTGACCATGTGAACTAAAATAAGATCTATCTATCTATCTATCTATCTATCTATCTATCTACACTGCAATATATATATATATATATATATATATATATATATATATATATATATATATATATATATGTGTGTGTGTGTGTGTGTGTGTGTGTGTGTGTGATGATGATATATTTTTTATACATCAGGAACAGTATTGGGAAAATCGTATTACAAAGTGGAAATAGTTTACTATCAGGGCCCCATGAACTCCTGAAGGACGAGAGACACGTGGCAAGTAAACGTTTTTACACTTTGTCATACAATTTTTAAATATATATATATATATATATATATATATATATATATATATATATATATATATAAATAAAAAAGAAGAACAGTAAGATATATAATCCAGTGTTCTTATAGATATTTTTATTTTTACAAAATTTTTTGAAACATGGTTAGAACTGTGTAGCGGTAAAAACCATATTTTAAATCAATTAATTTATAATATATATATATATATATATATATATATATATATATAAAACAAACAGTAAGATATGTAATCCGGGGTTCTTATAGATATTTTTATTTTTTACAAAATAGTGCTTAATGTAAATTTACAGAGCATTAATATTATAAATTAACTGATGTAAAATGTGTTTTTTTGCGCTACACATTTCTAATCAGGTTTCAAAAATGGAAGCTAAAAGCTTCGAATTTAATTTTGTAATTAAATTAAAGACATTAGTTCCATTTCATCCTGAAGCGAATTTTGGAGTAACTTATTTTTAAAATTACTGGGTTTTAAAGGCACAACAAAAATTCAGAATTCACGTTTCCAAGGATACAGAGAAACCCATTCATCCAGACAAGGGGGGGTTGCAAGTTCATTATCGCTGTATTATGATGTATCAGTTATTAGTTACGTTTGAAGAAGGGTTTTTGTTTAGGTTGGGATAGGGATGTATTTTTCAACGAATTCTGACATCCGTTAAATGCATGTCGTCTGGACTTTTAAAAAATCTTTTATTGTTAACAGCAAAAATTCTTACGGCATTTTTTTCTATTTGTATACTTAAAGATTTTTGGGGGTGTTTAGGTTAGAATACGTTTTATTTAACTACGATTTAAACAAATATTTTCACTTTTAATTTTTAATATACTATATTTCTTTTTAAAACAAGTAAATGTATTAGAATTACTTACAGAACAAAAATTCCTCGGATCAATAGTCAAGCATTTTCCCAGTGAAAGTAAACTAAGTACTATTTTCAATAAAAATACACTAATATAACGTTACAGCTGCACGGAAAACTTAGAAAAAATTATTAAGAAACATAATGCTAATATCTTAAATAAACACTTAAAACTAAAAAAAAATTAGACAATGAAAAAATAAAAATAAAAACTGATGAGTATGAACAAAAATTATGTAACTGTAGAAACCCTCATAATTGCCCTCTACAAAATATAGGTTGCACTAGCCATGAGTTCAAAAAAAGATTCAACTAACATCAAATTTCATTTAGGATAAATAAATATAAAAATCAAACATCTCTCTCGAAGTACTTTTTGCACCTAAAAGAATCAAATAAAACATCTACAGTAAAATGGAAGTTAATAAGAAAAGCTAGAATATGTAGGTCATTAAATGACCGATGTCCTTTGTGCATACATGAGAAACTATATATTACTAAGTTTATGAAAAATAAAAATTTACTGAATCAGAGAAATGAAGCCAAGATAGATTTTTTTTAAACATCTCTTAAATGAAAGCGATCCACATTCTATTAGGTATATTACACACTTCTTCTATATGCCGTGTCACTTCATGAAATGGGCAATCGTGGTTCCACATAACCATCTTTACTTTGCAGTTTCCAGCAACGTATCTCCCCACCTGTCGTGGTTTCTATCCCATTTCCGCAATCCATTCACACATGCACGTTAAACATGGGGCCTACTGCCTTTCCCTGTCCCTTTTGACTTCTATTCGTCCTGTAAGTGTCTTATTCTCCGAGCCCTTCTTCCGCTTTATGGGTCAAAGAAATTTCAGCTGACTCTTTCTGATTCTGAGTGTATGCTCATCTTTCCGGATGATTTCTTCGTTGCTTTCGCCTTCCGTCCATGATATTTCCAGCATCCTTCTGTAGAACCGCAGTTCTGTTGCCTCCAATTTTCTTTTCCAATGTTCAGAGATTTCAGCCCCCGGGCAGAGAGGATCAGAGTTTCGTCTCGGGAAAAATCTACCGATCTCGTTTTATACGGAGTCTACGGGAAATTTTGGCCGAGCCTACGGGCTCGTGGACCCCACATTAAATTCGGCCTTGTGCCACATTTGACCTAGAGTTGGAGATTCGTCTCCAGCTGTGCTGGTCAAACTCTCTGCCTCTGGGAAGAGAGTATCCCCAGACGAGTCAATGTCGAAGGGCAGAGTCTCGTCTCCGGAAACAGCTACCCGACCCCGTTTTATATGGGGACTAGGGGAACTTTTGGCCGAGACTAGAGGCTCGGATACCCCACATTAAATTCGGCCTTGTGCAACATCTAGCCACGTGGGCGCTTGGTAGATATCCTGTCATCAACATAATATTTGTATCTTTTATTATGAATATTTTGGCCACCGATAATAGATCCAGATTCGTTTTCTATCCGTACACACACACACACACACACATATATATATATATATATATATATATAGGTTCGGCACTCTTTTCTTAGCTTCTAACGAAAACTTCTTGATTCTTAATACTCGGTCCCTCCACGAGATCAGTAAAATATCAGCATACCGTGATGAAAACACGCTCCAAACGTAATTAAAACATAGTTTTATCGCCAAAATCGTTATGTTATTATTAAGAAGAAGGATCAAAGTATTTTTGTTTATTTCATTAAATTTTTTTTTTGTATTCTCTTTAGAACATTCAAAATTTCGATTAAAAAAATTTGTTTTTCTCACGTCAGCGGTCGTACTAACTTTTAGAATTTTCTAATTCTCGCCTCTTTTTTGCAGTGACAGAAACATTAATTTGGCATTTCTTCCAAAAATCAAATATTTCTCGAATTTTAATGAAATTTTCCGGACTTATTCACAGACGACTGAAATTATTTTTTAAATTTTTTATTACAAAATCTTGTTAAATTTTTTTTTTATTTTGTATGTTTTTCTCTCTTTTATTTAATTTTATGAAAGCTTGAGAAATTCATCGAGATAATTTTTAGAGACTATTTTAGTTAAAAGCAGAATTTTTGAAGAATTTAAATCACTAATTTTTTCTATCCGTATACATATATATATATATATATATATATATATATATATATATATATAGGTTTGTTCTTAGTACAAGTTCTGGATTATTTAAACTCCATTCCCAAATAGACTGAGCATTTTAAATAGATATTTTTGCTGTCAAATAATAAATTCTGCTAGTCTCCAGTTCCCTTAGGAACTGTCGCTTTAGAAGTTGAATAAATCCGGTGAGAAGACACACCCTTGTCTTATGCCCCTTTCTATTTTTGTGTACATACTTAATTCATTTTTCATCCGATTACAAAAGGTTTGCTTCCAGTATAAGTTTTCGGTTATTCTAACATCGTTGCCATAAAAATCTACTTCCAAGACTTGAAGAACTAATTTTTTAAAGGCATTCAGTCACGATCAAAAAAAAAATCGAAGATTGACAGTACAAGAATTAGATGAAAATCAGAGGATCCCAGAGATATTTCCGAAAAAAATAAGGCATTTTTAATATATCCATTGCTTATCCTCTTGCAGGTTTTATTTTGGGAAAAACATGATCCAATTTCCCCCGCATCACATTCCAAATTTGCCTCCACACGACTTCTGTCTTTTTTCCAAAGTGAGATCAGACTTGAAAGACGATAGAAATTAGTAGGGTGAAAATACGCCACATGGAAAAGGCACAGCCTTTTACAACATGATGTGCTGGAATTGTGATAAAAAAAAAAACAGATTTTCATCATAGATTTATCTTTTCAAGACCTAACAGAAGGCAAGCAACATTTTTTCAATTTTGTATAAAATAAAACCTTTCATTTACGCTTCTCCGAAGTTTCCCTTGACTTAAATTTTGTTTTTGATTCTTTGGCAAATTTGTGTACATATAGAAGGTAGTATTGAGGCCGCTCATGCATATTTGGTAAGGTATAACAGAATGATAGCCTGCATTTTGATGTCAACAGTCACTATGAAAAAAAAATGAGTGCACAATTTCTTCACATATGTGGTTCTATTGACTGATGTTGAAGCCGAGAGGCGCTTTTGATAGCCAATATCGTATTATATACCGTACCAATGAACACTAATGGGTTTGTCCCAATCCTCATAAATACGTTGGGCACTATTGTAAGAGAGAGTAATATGCTGTATAAGTAGTCCACCACTAGCAGTGGTTTACCTACTTCACGCCGCTGGCGAGTATTGTATTTTTGTTGATATTATAAAGATTACCATTTCATTTTCAACTTGCGTTTTGTTTATTCCTCATTCAGTAATACATTGTAGTTTACAAGAGATAGATAGATAGATAGATAGATAGATAGATAGATAGATAGATGTCTTAGTGTTATATACCGTACCTATGAACACTAATGTGTATTTCCCAATCCTCTTGGGACATTAATGTAAGTGGGGGGTAATATGCTGTATAAGTAGTCCACCACTAGCAGTGGTTTACCTACTTCATGCCACTGGCGAGTATTGTATTTTGTTGATGTTATAATGATTACCATTTTATTTCCAACCTCCATTTTGGTTATTCCTCATTTAGTAAATTTTCCTAGTTTGCAACATATCGTCTGCTTGTTTACTCTATATTGACAAAGAAGTGAATCCAGCGCCCATGTTTATCATTATTCATTATTGATACAAAAAAAATCTGAATTAAACTGAGTCACCAATATAGACTACTCATTTTCGGGCTATAAACAGAAAATTCATCCTAAAAAATTGTCAATTTATTATTCATTAGTTTTACAGGATGGTGTAAGCCATTTTGTTAACGCCTGTTCTATTTGGGGAAAACGTTTAATCACAGTGGAGTTTCATTGAAATTAACTGTATATTATTTTATTACAGCGATAAAAACGAACATAATCTAAAACATATGTCAGGAAAAGTAACAACTACACCTACAGTAATTGGTTCGAAAACAGAATAACTTACATCCGGGCTTGTAATCGCAGAACATCTTTTAAAAAATCAAGAATGTGCAACATCCTTCCGCAACATGTTCTCCGTTTTGTCCAGATCGCATTCGAGCTAGTCTCTGAAAGTCCCAGATGGTTATTTTTTATTAAATCAATGCAAGCTAATCAGTGTAAACAGAAAGATTGGTTGTGTAAACTTAATATCATCTCATAATGAACTTGTTGGGTACCCCAAGGCTAATTAACTCGCCCGAGAGTTAGTTAAAGGAACGTAGGAGTCATGGATAGCGGCTCGGATTGAGGAATCGGAGAGACGAGTTCGAATTCCAGTCGAATCCATTACGTTCACTTACGTGCTAATACCCCTGGGAAAGGTATGAATCCTCTTTTTCCACCACCTATGGGTAGATAACAGGACAGCCCAATTTCTATAGTCTTAGATGGCAACTGGTCTTGCGCAGAAAGAAATGGCAACCTACTGCGGGAAAAATATCTACCTCGTCGGTCATATATCGAAAGATACATGATCGGCTAAGCGTGTATCACACATGGCACATAACTGACTGACTGACCATGGAAAAATTGTCGTCTCTTGACACTTTCCCTTTAGAGGGCGCCACAGTCTCCGGTTAATATCCCAAGTCTTCCTTCCGAATGGGAGGTTCTGCTTAAAAGGGGTAGCCTCCTGTGCCTTGAGCTAATATTGTTGTTAGAACAAACTCCTCTACCGGCTGTTCAGACAAGAATTTGCTGGCCCAACTGATATTTTTCAACGCACCCACATGTAAAGTCTCCTAAATTTGTTTCATGTTCTATGTCTGTAACCGGGCTTGGGTGGTGTTGCTTCCAATTTCTTGCAGTTTCCTTTCCGTAAAAGTTGCAGATTTTCCAATGCAGATATTGGCCCCACTCTGTCATGTCGAGTTTTATATTCAGTGGGTTCCAATACCGTACAACCTGATACAATATGGTCAATTTTTTCTAGATATTAATAACAGAATCTGTATTTCGGCCTAACAGAATTTTCCAGGATGTGCGCTTTGTAATTTCTAGTTAGTAAGTAGTGCAGGATTAAATAATAAAAGAGAACACCCCTTATTATGGAAAGAAGAGTGTCTACCGCAGTTTTTTTTTTGTCCTATGTGGCAAGAATAAAACCTTCGGTTTCTGCTTTTAATCCTGCACCACGTAAGCAGTACTGGGTACGGGGTTTGTCTACATTAGCTTGTTTGGTGCGGGTTGAATATTGTCCATGAAGAAGCTTATCTTGCCATCGTCGTTGCATTTAATTTATTGCATTTGCTTTCTTTTTAGGTACTTTACCTTTATATTAGGGGTATTCTGATTTATTTTCACTTCTTCACCCACTGGAAATTTCCTTTTGAATTTATTGTCCTATTGTATAATACCGAGTTTTATATTCAGTGGGTGCTAACACCGTGCAAGCTGATACAAGATAGATAATTGTTTCTGGATGTTTATCACAGAATCTCTATTTGGGGCTAACACGTTATTTTTATTATCTCCTTCATTATATTTTGATTCCTGCTATCGTCACACTACCTACCAAGAGTGCGGGAAAACTTAAGGCAGGTCGTGGTGTGTTTTTATGGCTACATTATATGATTTATTTTTTTTAACTACCATAACATCATTAGCGTTACATGGACAAACATTTTAGTGTGTGGCTGCATTTATCAGGACAAATTTTTGTATTTTTCTTAAGCTAGGATTTCCAGGGATTTTTTCAATGTGTTGTTGTATTCCTTTTGTTATCATTCCAAGAGTACCTACTAGGACATTTACTATTCCTGTTTTCAATTTCCACATTTTTTTCTATTTAGATTTCCAGATATTTATACTTCGATAGTTTTTTTTTTAATTCTTTCGTTGCTATGTTACAGTTCTCTGAGCAAGCCATATTAATTAGTAGGCAAGTTTTTTCTTTTAGGCTTTTTACGATTATGTCCGACCTATTTGATTCAATCTTCCTGTTTGTAAAGATGGTACAATACCCTAGAATTATGATGTCTTCTATTTCTGTTTACGGTGCCGCGTGATGTTCATACCAGTGTTTGATAACAACTTTTCTAATGTGTTTGCACATTGTCTATTGTAAATATTGCCCCACCCTATCGTGACGATTTTTATATTCATTTGGCTCAAGTACAGGACATCCTGAGATTTGATGGCCTATAGTTTTCTGATATTTATCACAGAACCTGCATTTTGAATCCACACTATTATGTATGATATTTGCCTGAAAGTTTCTATTGAAAAGATTCTGGTCTTGCGCTGCAAGAATAAAGCCTTCCGTTTTAGCCTTTAATCCAGATGCTCGTAGCCTCGATGAGTGTTAACGTTATCAACATCGGCTTTATTAGCCTCGTTCTGGATATTGGCCATGCCGAGGTTTGTCTTGCCAGCGTTGTTTCATCTGTTCAAGAGCTTTATACTTGGTATATTATTATTATTATTATTATTATTATTATTATTATTTCTTTTGATTTCTGGTTTGTACACATTTCTTCCCCGGTCCCGCCCAGAGACCTAAGGTTAGAAATGGTATCATGACATTTTCCATTGACCAACTAAAAAAAAACAAAGCCCCAAACCCACATAGATAAAGCCCTTCGTAAGGTGTGGGCTGTACTTGTCAGAACAATTTTTTTGTATTACTTTAAGTCATGGACTTCCAGGAATCCCTTCAATGTGTCTACTGGAATCTTTTCCAATCAATCCGAGGGCTCCAACAAACAACTGAGATTGTTGATGTTCCCATGTACCACATATTTGAGATTTCGATTTCAAGGTCATTGTATTTTGATAGCTTTTTGAAGATCTTCAAAGATACATAGCAGTCTGCAGGGACTGACATATCAATAATTAAGCACTTTTTTCTTGTTTGCGGTCTCTAATATCAATGTCTGGGCAGTTAGCTTTGATTGTTGTTTATTATTATTATTATTATTATTATTATTATTTCATGTATTTACCTGCCCCTACCAAAAATTTAGTTATCACTGCTAGACATTAAGTAGTAGTTACTTTCCTCTCATCTCCTGTTTTCCATCGGACCCCAAGAGTAATTGTCTCATCAAGTTTCTTCTCCGTATTCTAGCTGATTTCACTAGTACTTCGTACTGTTTGTTTTATTTATTTAATTCTTCCAAATTTCTCTGGCGTCGGCTTACCTCGACTTGGCTACATTGGTTCACGAATGACATATTTTTCTCGGTTGTCTTAAGAAGGAAAGTCACGCCATAAACAATAGATTTTTTAATGTTTTTGAAGGAAGGTTTGTTGTTTTTTTTAATAAAAAAAAAAGAACATCCCTTATTATGGAAAGAAGCGTGTCTACCGCAGTTTTTTTTTGTTTTTGTTTTTGTCTGTCTTTAATAGACAGAACAAGGCGTTAAACCATAAGTGATCGACAGATTGACCTCAAGGCATAAAACACTTTCGTAAAAGCAAACTATTTTCGAACCTTAATAACTGGAGAGCTTGTTTTTCAGATCGAGGCCAATCTGTTTACTTCTCGCCACCGTGACATTTCGGTCGCTGGGAAGAAAGCAAATGACACGAATGACAAAAATAAACGAACAGCAGGAATAGAAACGAACAAACAAACGTTATTTATGAAGAGAGCTTTCGAGTCTAGGACATCGTCAAATTGTTTGAGAAGTTAGTAAAAGAAAGAGAGAAAAAACATTATAACGTTCAGAGATTCGCGACGTTTAGCTGGGTAGAAAACGGAATCGGCGTACCAGTTTCAAGTTTCTGATAGATTGTTTACATCCACTTTACGCTAATACCCTCGGAAAAGGCGTTCCCTAAATTATGGGTACATAACAGAAGAGACTAATCTGTGTCGCCTGAGCTGGCGACTCGTCTGAGACAACTCTTGTAGGCTAGAAAGTAGATCGGTAGTAACCATTACCACCTTTCTAGCAAATCCCGTGGATACAAAGTGTTAGGTACCTATTCTATTATAATGGACTCTCCCATAGATAATAAGTAGGAGTAGCAGTGGCAAGTCTGGCAGAATGGTGTTGAGCGCGTCAGTCGAGATTCGGACATTTGAAGTACCAACCATCACAACTAGATTGCTGCGCCATTGACTTTTATTTTCCAAGTTCCTAACGTTTTGTACGTCGGACCTAATTTAGGACGACTTATTAGAAATACAAGCCTCCATTGTGAAAATACTCCACAACAAAAAGGCCGGCGATATATAAAGCCAAGAGAAGTCTCTGCGCAGAGGTCTTTTCACTTGAAAAAAAAAACAAAAAAAACATTTTCGCAAAGAGTTCTGTGAAAATATCATATTTTGGATATCTATTCAGATGATATCACACGTTGATGGGCTCCTCATAAAATCTAGTTGATCAGAGCCTAGTAACTAATCAA